AATAATAATAATAATAATTAATATTATTATTGATTACAAAATTTTCCATCCCAAATTTTGAACTCCTTAAATAGATTAAAATATCAATTTCAATCTGATTAAAAATCCCCTATTATATTGGTATGTACACCAACAAACCCGCAAGCTATATCTTGACACTTACACCTAACACCTTTTGATACCCATTAGATTGCGGAGGCACGCCCCAACGATTGGAGTCTGCGCTGGAAATCTAAAACTCAGTATCTAATCCCGGGTTGTCTATATCTTGCTTTTCTCACCTTCCAACCAGAAGCACCCTTGCCATAAAAATTAAATCCCCTTCGGCAGTTCTCAGCTAAACACACTCCAGCATTGCCGTATTTTACATTGCACACATGTGTAACGTATAACTGTGGCAATTTGATGTAACAAGACCGCTAAAGGACATCCCGTCGGTCCGGATGAGCATTCCTATTATTGTACAAAACTTGGAGGTTCATGTTTGGCAGCATACATGGGACAGACGACAATAAGGCACGCTTTTATACGCACAAGGGGAGTTTTGTTCGAGCAACGCGCCCATGATAGACCTCTGATTCTATCAGAGACTGGGGTAGGATGGGCTTGAGGCTCGAGCAGTTGATGCCTCACAAAAGACAGCCAAAATCTGCTGGGTCCGAAGAGACTAAGAGAGTCGAGGCTCCATTTCATATAAATTTTATTTGTGAATAATAAAATCTCAATTCTGTTTGTGGCTTGTGGCTTACACTTGGAGGGGGCGAGAGTCCTTTTGAATTATTATCCGGGTCCTGGTTTTGTATTGGCGGTGACTTTTCACACTGCGGGATATTTTTTCCGGTTGACCAGATGGTTTATTGGTATTATAGGCATTACTATTATGTTTTTGGTGTACTGAACAAATCGAGGCGATTAGACACAGCGGAGGAGAGAGAGGTGTAAACTTTTCACGGTCCTCGCTACAAATTTTAGTTGCAGAGAAATAAAAGAAGACCGGATAAATTCTTGCTTCGGCACTTAGAGGTACTTGAGGTTATTGTGCTTCGTCGTTTAATCATTTTGCGGGGGCTTTATTCGATTAAAATTAAATTAGCCGACATTTAAAATTTTTTTTATTAAAAAAATTTCACATCTAAAAAATTTGAAAAACTATATGTGCAATTTTTTTTACTCGCAATTTAATTGTTGAAAAAAATACAAAAATTTTTTAACGTCGACTAACTTATCACTTCATTTAATGATACTAAAATTAGTCGAGGTTCAACAATTTTTGACTTTTTTTTATTAATTAAATTAGAACTAAGAAAATATTTTTAAAAAATTGCACATATAATTTTTGGAATTTTCTATATATGTCTAATTTTTTCTTTTAATTGTTTTTTAATAATTTTTCAATAAAATAAATTACAGAAATTTTCAGATGTCGGTTAATTTAATTTTCATTTTATTTAATAATTTCTTTAGCAGAGTTTATGAGGATTGTATCATTGGTCAAAGATAAATTAGAACTTTGTAAGTTTGGATATTTTTTGACATTTTAATATAATAAAAAATTAAATTTTTTAATTACTGCTCAATATTTTTTATAAATAATTATAAAAAACTAGTAACCTTGCAGTCACTATGTGACTGCCGTGACTTATGAACTATAAAAAATTAAAATTTTGCTTTATTAAATAATGACTTTTGTTAAATTGCACTGTACTTTCTTAACTATTGACGTTTTTAAAGATATAAGCTCATCCCGATGTTACACTTATCGAGAGCTTTCATTTGAGTACCCACATGTATTTTTGATATATTTTTCATATATACATGTATATAATAATATATAATATATATAAATATATGAAAAATTGATGTGGGTACTCAAATGAAAGGTCTCGATTAGTATAACATCGGGATGAGCTTATATCTTTAAAAATGTCAATAGTTCTCAAGATACAAGGTCATTTCTTAACTATGTATCTAGTTAGAAATAGAGCATTTTTGAATGCAGCCTAATTACTTATCACAATCAACTGACTATCGATGAGAATGATGTGAAAAAGGCTCTAATTCAAGTCAAGACTCTTCTAACGATACCAAATTTAACTATAAAAACCCATTTTATTACATAAATACACCGGATACAAATTTTATCTTATTCTCTTAATAATATAGATTTACAAAAAATCTCTGATCAACTTACAAGAATAATTTTTGAATATCTTGTAAATATGATTTTTGTTTTTTTTAAATCTAAATTCCAAATTTTTTCCATGCTATATTTACATTTTTTTTCTCAATGTAAATTTACAAATTATTTACTGCTAAATTTAAGATTTTTTTCCATATAAATTAAACATTCTTCTGATATAAAATTGACATGTCGTCCCCTTTCTGTGTTAACCTCGTATCTCCATTTTTTTCGAAATTGAGATTTTTATCGGAAGTCACTCCTTAGCACTCTTGTAACGTAAAACAAAACATGCAATGTTCATAAAGATGATAGAATTTTTTTTAGAGGCTTTTGATTTTTCTCGTATCTACATATTCGAATTCAAAAACCTCGTATCTACCGTAAGTATCGCCGAAAACGTTAAAATGGCGTTGTTGTCTTCATACTGAATGTTTGTAAACGTGTTCACACTTAAGTTGACTATATTTTGTTGATTGACATTTATTTTTTATCCATATAAATACATACAAATATTATTTAGCTCTTGAGCTCAAAAGTCTGATAGAAGTTTGATGCAACAATATTTTTTAAATTTTCAAATCGCGATTACTTTTGAATAAATGGAACGATTTTTACGCGGTTGGTGACATTCAACGCAATTTTTTAAGCCTCATAAAAAATCTTTAAATTCAATTTGATCGAACTACGAATTTCGGAGTAATTCTGAAAAAACACTTTTTTTGGTTTTCTTTCGTCAACGATAACTCACGAACGAATCAACCGATGTTGACCGGACTGACAGCAATCGACGTGGTTTATTAATGTTAAGAGCTAATTAGTTTTTGGAATTAATCGGTAAAGCCGTTTAAAAGTTATTCCAAAAAAACCATATTAAAAAAAATTTTTTTTCGTAGTTTTTTTGAGATTTCTTAAACTCTACCGGTGCGAATCAGTCCAAATTATATTTAAAATCTAAGTTCAGTCCTAGTTATATTTAAAATAGTCCTAGTTATATTTAAAATCTAAGCCCTTCCAAATTGCACCAACTGCGATAAAATCGGTCAAGCCGTTCGAAAGTTATGAGAGGTTTACATACATCCACGCACGCACACACATACACACATACATACATACAGACGTACAGACACCATCACGGGGGTGGTCAAAGAAGCTTCCTGAGACCTTGAAACGTCGAGATCTAGTGAAAAATCAATTTTTACAAAAGGGGGTAAAACCAATAACTTCCCGATTTTTGAAGATCTCCGATTTTCTTAGCGGGAAGTTAAAAATAATTAAATCATATTATAAATAGTAATCACATGATTTATAACATATTAAATCAAAATCAAATAAATTTGTTTAAATTAATAAATATAAAATAATAATGAATAATTAAAAGCCTTGCATAACAGAATTTTTCGCCAATGATCTTATAGAAAAAACAATTTTTTTTTGTTTCAAAACCTCGTATCTGCAAAAAAATCACCAGGGTGTTTGATGAGAAAACTCGTATCTACATGAAATTGACAATAACAACAAAGCATCGATGCAGATAGCAAAAATCATGTTTAATTCTTTTAAGGTGATTGATAAAGAGCATAAATTTTGAATTAGTTATAACTTTTTATAAAAATTAAGTAACTCTAAACGTTTTTATCGATTTATCGAAAATTACGATTTTGTAGATACGAGGTTTACACAGAAACGGGACGTTATATCGTTAAAAATGAAATTTTTTGGAAAAAATTTTTTTTGTTAAAAAAAATTAAAAAAATAGTCAACTGCTAACTTTAATTAATGTCATAATTATTACTTATCACCATCCAAATACTATTTTATGTTAGTGTGTATTTCAATATGATTAATAAAATATTAATTATTTACTTTAGGTCCGTTGTAGCACATTATATGCAGAGTAAGACATTTTAATTAACTGAAAGAATAAAAATCTATATTAATTACAATATTACTTCAATTTTAATTGAAAATTTAATACCGTTTTAAAAGAGTCGTATGATAATTTAATAACACTTCCACTTGAAAAAATAATTGGTTTTTGTCCACGATTCATTATAATTATTAAACTTTTCACGGTTGATGTATTTAAATTTATCCAGTCAGTATTATAAATAGCGTCACTTAATGTTGAACTCTAATATATAAATAATAAATATATTAAAATTTTTTTTATTAATTAAATTAGAACTAAAAAAATATTTTTTAAATCTACATTTAGAATTTTTATTTTTTTTTTTATTATAATTTTTAATAAGGAAAATTGTCAGATATTTGCCAATTTTATTTTTATTATTAATTAATAAAAACAAAATAATAATTAAAAAAAAAAAATAAATATTACCACTACTGTCACTTGATTGCCAGCTGCACAAAGAATAAAAATTTCCATCAACATGCAAGATAAATAAAGCACAATGCTAGTAAATTCAGTTGAAAAAGCATCTAAAATAGCCAAGTTATAAACACTTATGCATAATACAATAGAGCTTATAAAAAATTGAAGAAATATAACTTTATTAAATGTTTCGTTAATGGTGTCAGCTAATCTGAAATAACAAATAACAATTTTATAAATATTTTCAATAGAATTATAATTATTATTATTACAATAAATATAAATTAATTAAATGAATAAAAAATTCAACTTGAGAATAATCAGATGACACTTTACGTAATCAGCAATTAATTTATTTTCAATCTCCAAATTATTTTTATTACTTTTATTACTATTCCAGTGGGTTGTTAATTTAAGCGTATCGACTAAATTAATAAAACGATATTTTAGTATTTCTAATTTAGCGGTTATTTGCAGCATAAGTCCTGGAACAAGAGTATCAAAGCCGATGTCTGAGTTAGCGGATAAACAGACACTTATTATTTGGTAACCATAAGCAAGCCAGTACAAAAATCCGTGTGAATAATCCCATGGTAGGTAAGTATTGTATGGCAAAGTACCTATTGGTAATTTTAATAACAAGGTACCAAATGTTACCATAAATACTGTTATTTCTGTTAATATTCCATATACAAGTGTGCTGTGCCTGTAATTGAATATTTTTATTAATAATTATAAAATTCAAATTTTCATTAACAAGAAAATTGATTTTATTCAAGAAAAAAAAGTCTTGAAACAAGAATATTATTTATGATATTGTAATTTAGAATTTTTATAATAAATTAATTATGATAAAATATACTAGCGACATTGCAGTCACTATGTGACTGCTTTGACTTGTGAACTATAAGTAAATAAAATTTTGCTTTATTATAAATAATGACTTTTGTTAAATTGCACTGTACTTTTTTAAATATTGACGTTTTCAAAGATATAAGCTCATCCCGATGTTACACTCATCAAGAGCTTTCATTTGAGTACCCACATGCATTTTTATATATTTTTCATATATACATATATATATATATATATAAATATATGAAAAATTGATGTGGGTACTCAAATGAAAGGTCTTGATGAGTGTAGTGTCGGGATGAGCTTATATCTTTAAAATTGTCATTATTTCACAAGATATTTGTTAAATTGCACTGTACTTTCTTAATTATTGACGTTTTTAAAGATATAAGCTCATCCCGATGTTACTCTCATCAAGAGCTTTTATTTGAGTACCCACATGCGATTTTATATATTTTTCATATATACATATATATACAATCATGGACATTAATTAAAGTATGTTTTTAAGTTTACTGGAAAACAGCCATTTGTAAACTCGGACGTTTATAAACTATAAATTAGAAAATTAGTTGATAATGTCATTTGTAAAATTAGTCGCAAATAAAAAATTATATTAATAAAATTAGCAAAATGGAAATTTCATCAAATATAAATTCAGTCATTTATAAAATAACGAAAAACAAAAATCTGTAGCTACGTAAATTTAGCCAATTCTTACTGCAGAAACTTGTAAAATTAGCCGTTTTTAAACTTCTTATAACTTTTGAATGGGTCGGTCGAATCTGCTCTAATTTTCAGAAAAACTAAATTTATGAAAGTCCTTTTAGATGCCGCAAATCGTTTTTTGATCCGTCGATCCATTCAAGAATTACGAGAGATTTAGAAACAGATAATTTTACAATTCACAAAGTTTACAATCGGCTAATTTTATAAGTTTCTGCAAATTATTGTTTTTCGCTATTTTATAAATGACTGAATTTATACTTGGTAAAATTTCCATTCTGCTATATTTTATTAATATCATTTTTTATTTGCAACTAATTTTACAAATGACATGTAAACTCGGACGTTTATGAACTATAAATTTGAAATAATGTCATTTGTAAAATTAGTTGCAAATAAAAAATGATATTAATAAAATTAGCGAAATGGAAATTTCACCAAGTATAAATTCAGTCATTTATAAAATAGCGAAAAACAAAAATCTGTAGCTACGTGAATTTAGCCAATTCTTACTGCAGAAACTTGTAAAATTAGCCGTTTTTAAACTTCTTATAACTTTTGAATGGGTCGGTCGAATCTGCTCTAATTTTCAGAAAAACTAAATTTATGAAAGTCCTTTTAGATGCCGCAAATCGTTTTTTGATCCGTCGATCCATTCAAGAATTACGAGAGATTTAGAAACAGATAATTTTACAATTCACAAAGTTTACAATCGGCTAATTTTATAAGTTTCTGCAAATTATTGTTTTTCGCTATTTTATAAATGACTGAATTTATACTTGGTAAAATTTCCATTTCGCTAATTTTATTAATATCATTTTTTATTTGCAACTAATTTTACAAATGACATTATTTCAAATTTATAGTTCATAAACGTCCGAGTTTACAAATGGCTATTTTCCAGTAAACTTAAAAACATACTTAAATTAATGTCCACGATTGTATATATATATATATAAATATATAAAAAATTGATGTGGGTACTCAAATGAAAGGTATCGATGAGTGTAACATCAGGATGAGCTTATATCTTTAAAAATGTCAATAGTTTACGAGATACAAGATTTTTTCTCAATTATCTATCTAGAGATAGAGCTTTTTTGAATGCAGCCTAAATACTCATTATCATAAACTGACTATTGGTGAAAACGATTGGAATCCTTGAAAAGGCACAACTCCAGGTCAAGATTTTTCATCAAGAAATATAGATTTATAAAAATTCACACTTATTATTTTGGTAAAATTTCTTCATGCAAAATTTTTTTTCAAAACTTAATTTGTAGTTCAAAATTTTTTCTCTTGAATCAAATGATTTATTTTATCGAATAATTAATCTTAAAAAAAAAACTAGATTAAATTATTACCAAATAAGACGATCAACTTTTTCTTGAATAATAATTTCATCGTCATTAATCGGCTTGCATGGATTTGTTTCAAGTGTATTTAATATCAAAATAATTGTTTTACGACTCCATACAATATTAGCTATTTTACCACAAATAGCAAAAATAGATAATAATATAAAACAGTCACTTGTAACATCTCCAATATTTTTAGTAGTAGATATTAATCCAGTTATTCCAGTAATTGTAAATGAATAAATAAGAAAGAATATTACAAATGTACGAAGTCGATACCAAAAATTGTATATCAGTGATGAATTTTCATTATTGTATTTTTGATGTGTATGAGATTTCCAAAGTCCTATTGCTTGCAATACAACAAAGCTCCCTGGAAGTATCGTGTACATTTTAAAATAATATATTATTGCGATGCTACTAAATTTATTTTCTACTTTGAAATTTCCCTTATCATTGTTCCTTCTATTCCGATGATAATAATAAGTATCTATGAAATTATTATGAGTTAGAGACGCCAGCATATGTCGCAAATATCTTTTATGTCGCATATACACCCAATTTAATATTTATTGTATCACAATTGCCTTATTATCTTGTTATTGGGGTGCATATTCGAGGGTACAAATTATATTCACAGAATAGAAGCTTATTATGAATTAATAAATAATCATCATAAATTTCAGCTGGAAAATTAAAATAATTGATCTTGAATTATTTAATATAAAATTATTGTAACAATGTAATGATGGTTATTTATTATTCATATTATTTTAAAGCGAAGACTAATTTATATCTCTTCACTATTTTGTGAAGTTATTTACATCAGTTTTGCTTCTTCTGAAAAACTTTTCTCAGTTCAATACAAACTATGACACTGAATAAGTTAACATTTAGAAATTGTTTTATAATTTTAATATGATCAAAAAAAATTTAATAAATAATTTTACATGTGAAAATTTTAAAAAATTATTAGTGAAAATTTTTAAAAGCATTTTTTTATTGTAGATAGTTTATTTGTTATAAAAATAATAAAAAAATTGACAGCTGACAGCTACCTTCAGGATCTTACAAACTTTACAAAAATATAACTATTGCATGTTTTTCTATATATACTTACTTTCTTAAACTATAACAGGCTAATGAAGTTTATTCGAGTACAAAAACAAAAATATGTTAATTTTTTTATAAAATTATCACATAAATATACGCAGTTTATTTTAAAAATATTGTGCATTTAAATAAGAAATGTTGAACATTTTTTTTGGTATTTTGATAATGATATTTATGAAAATTTATTTATGACATTAAAGTTAGCAGTAACTTGACCATTTTTTAATTTTTTTTTAACAAATAGATTTTTTTCAAAAAATTATTTTTAAAAAATTGCATTTTTTTAATTTTTAAAAAACTTTCTACATGTTAATTTTTTTTTACTACTTTTTTTTTTGCCTATAATTTATTTTGTTAAAAAAATTCTAAAAATTATTAAATATCTGCTAAATTAATTTTCATAATTTATTTTTAAAAAATGTTAATAAAAATTTTGACTTGTAATTTTTATTAATTTTCACATGGTCAAATTTCTAACAAAGGTAAGATGATATATATTTTTCACTTTCATTATTATTATTATTATTATTTATATTCAACAAATTTTAGGGTTAAACAGTAGTACGCTCTGATTAAAAAAAGTATTGAGAACAATAGAAACGGAATCGGAAAGAATTCGATTTATCATAAAAGCAATTCTTTTCAATTCCTTTTCCATTGTTCTCAATACTTTTTTTTAAACAGGGCGCGCGTTTCAATTGTATATATTGAAGAAATTATTATTGGAGTAATTTTACTTTAATTAATAAAGCTAAAAAATCAAAACAAGGATAATAATATCTTCACAACAAAAGGCTGATAAAAATTGATAATAAAATTTATGGTAAGTTCACATTATATTTTTATTTAAATTTTATGTACGTATCATAATAAATAATTAGTTATTATAACAATTATTAACATATTTAAGTATATATTAGAGAAATTTATATGAAAATTACAAAATAACATTTTTTAAAAATTTGCACTTATAACTTTCTTCAATTTTTAGATATAGAATTTTTGTATTAAAATTTCTTTATCATAATTTAGTTTTGTTATAGAAATCCAAAAAGTTGACAGATGTCTGTTAATTTCAGTATCATTAAATTAATTACTGGGCCCGGATCATCTCGCTGATAGATAGATCATAAATAAATAATTTAGAACATAAATTTAACATCAATATAAATCTATTTATTTCCAATTATAGAGAAAATTTAGATAGTTGATGAATTAAATATAAAGTAAATAGTTTATTATTGTGAAGAGACTAGCATTGGCCTCTTCATTTCAACATCTCCATTGGATTCATCATGCCTTTTTTGACCATACTCAACATCTCATCTATAACACCGCCCGGCATTTTTTCAACAAAAGAGCTTGATTCTAATGGAGAATTAGCGCTGCTACTTTCTGGATAATTAGTATTAGCAGGAGTTGTTGCAGAACTTCCAGCTCCAGTTGCAGTTGTTGCAGCACTTCCAGCTCCAGTTGCAGTTGTTGCAGCACTTCCAGCTCCAGTTGGTGTAGCTCCAGCTGCTGCAGTTCCAGCTGCTGCAGCTCCAGCTGCTGCAGTTCCAGCTGCTGCAGTTGCATCATCGGCCATTATCACTGTAACTGCTAATATTAAACATTAAAATTATTAATCAGTTTTATTTATTTTTAAATAAATAAAATTTATTATTTTTTTTAAAAAAGTTGACATACCTATGGCGAGTACAGCCAGTGAGACGATCAAGAATCCTCTCATTATTTTAAATTTTTTGTCGCTATACCTCCAACGAACACTCTGGTTGTCAAAGACAAATTGTTCTCGAGACATTAACATCCTTTTACTTTTATACTACTTAACAAACAAATATTTTTAATAAAACGTCATTTTTTATTAAAAAATAACAATAATATAAAAACGACGCCAGTCTGCCGACGTCGTTAGGTTAAATATTATTTCAACAAATATTAAATTATTATTACATGTGATAAGCCGCTATTTCTTCTTTGATAAAATTATATTTTTTAAGGATAAAAGTTAAATTAAATTTTTTTTTTTTAAATAAAATTAGTTAAAATTCTCCATCATTGCTGTTACATCTTAAAGTTTATATTTATTTTATTATTCATATTTTTTTTATCCTGCTCAATACGTCAGTAAATAAATAAATTTGTTAAATTAAGTATGACTGATAAATTTTGACGATTAACATATACCATGTACATTATAGTGACAATAAATGATGGAAAAAAAATTTAATAGACACTTTATCATCCTTCCATTAATTCTTTGTTATTATTTTATGCTTTAATAATTTATAAATAATTAAAACTTTATGAGTTTTAAAATATCATTAATGGCGAAATTAATCATCGAGATTTTTATTATTAAGTATTTAATAAGAGATTTATTTTATATAAATTTGCTATCGAGAATAAAGTAACATTTAATAATATGTACATGTAGATAAATCGATCACTATGTTACATAATTTAATAATAATTATCATAATGAATGATGATGAATGTAGAACAATATTGCTGCTTACAGTAGGAAAATATAGGTGTAAATTAATATAAATTGAAAATTGATTTATACGGTTAAATAAGCTTTTAATATTACTCGAATAAATGAACAATATTATACAAACAATCTTTATAAATTTAGCAAACAATCAATATTCCATCTTACTTTGTGAAACCTATCGATAATTTATGTTACATATAAATGGACATTAATCTAAATTACTAAGAGGACGCATGTGAACGAGAACTACTGCTAGAATGAGATTGAGAATAAGATCCTGATCCGCCCGTAGGTTTTGATTCGCCATTAGAACCTGATGTTGCGGTGGAACGTGAATAGGAACTAGAACTTGACCTCGCCTTTGATTCACTACCGGAGCCTGATCCAGCGCTAGAGCCTGATCCAGCGCTAGAGCCCGATCCCGCGCTAGAGTCTGATCCAGCGCTGGAGCCCGATCCAGCGCTAGAGCCCGATCCAGCGCTAGAGTCTGATCCAGCGCTAGAGCCCGATCCAGCGCTAGAGCCCGATCCAGCGCTAGAGCCCGATCCAGCACTAGAGCCTGATCCAGCACTAGAGCCTGATCCAGCGCTCGAGCCTGATCCAGCGCTAGAGCCTGATCCAGCGCTAGAGCCAGTTTCAGTATTGGAGCCTGATCCAGTGTTTGATCCAGCACTAGAGCTTGTGTTTGAGCCAGAAGAGTTATCTCCTGAATCATCATTACCATCATCAGATCCTCCTGACGGATAATCTCCATTATTAGAGTCTTCCCCTGAGGAATCATCATTATTTGAACCAGATTCATTCGTTGATTCTGACTCGGAACTAGATTCTGCGCTCGAGTCAGCTTCGGACTGTGAGTTATCACCGGAGTCTCCCTCTGAAGTAGATTCAGAATTGGCGTCCGTTTCAGAATGCGCCTCAGAGCTAGTATTAGAGCCAGTTTCAGTATTGGAGTCTGATCCAGTGTTTGATCCAGCACTAGAGCTTGTGTTTGAGCCAGAAGAGTTATCTCCTGAATCATCATTACCATCATCAGATCCTCCTGACGGATAATCTCCATTATTAGAGTCTTCCCCTGAGGAATCATCATTATTTGAACCAGATTCATTCGTTGATTCTGACTCGGAACTAGACTCTGCGCTCGAGTCAGCTTCGGACTGTGAGTTATCACCGGAGTCTCCCTCCGAAGTAGATTCAGCATTGGCGTCCGTTTCAGAATGCGCCTCAGAGCTAGCATTAGAGCCTGTTCCAGTATCGGAGCCTGATCCAGTATTGCTGCTGGAGCCAGAATTAGAACTTGATCCCGCGGACGAACTAGAGCCACTCGATGATCCTGCATCACCTGATTCATCTTCACAATCATCATATCCATAGTATGGATCATATCCTCCAAGCATACCCATCATTCCATTATTGTCTTTTGTTTGATCTGAATTATCATTACAACCTGAACTCTCATCACCTGTTGACGATTGACCACCACTTTTTGTTGATTGACATGTAGATATTGCTAAAAACGTTATTTATTAGTTTTTTTTTCAAATCAAATAATTGCATAGTTTATAAATCAGTAAATAAATTATTAAACTCACCTAGGGCACTTATGGCCAAAAGTATAAAGGTGAATTTTTTCATTTTGACTTTTGACCTTTAACTTAAGACTCCTTTTTTTGGGGTTTCCTTGGTTTTCTCAAGTTCACAAACTATTGTCAGTTTCTCATATACGATTATTTGTTCCAAAGTCTTGTCTCTCCGTCTTTTATACATGCGGCAAAAGTTAATACCTGCCCCCTTTTTTAATTTTTTTTTTATTTACATTGATTACAAAAATCAGTGAATCGACCATCTGCGATGTATATTATTTAATCAAATTATATTTAAATTTTATTTTACATTATCATGCAAGCTATTATAATTGCGATATATTAATTTTATTTTTGATAGTTAAAAAAATTTATTAACACCCTCATAAAAATATTTCTATTATAATTATTGTTGAGCTTCATGGAACCCATTAATTGTACGAAAATTTTGATATTAACAAATTGGATCTATGAAACTCAACAATAATTATAATAGAAATATTTTTATGAGGGTGTTAATAAATTTTTTTAACTATCAAAAATAAAATTAATATATCGCAATTATAATAGCTTGCATGATCCGTGAATTTTGCACAAATAGAGGTTTTAATTCTGCGGTAACTAATAGAATTAATCAGCTTTCATCAGCTGTAAAAGGATATGATATTGAAGATGCAATTTAATGTTATTTTATTTAATTTTGGTAAACCACGTGGATTGATGCAAAGATAGAGAGTGAAAGCTTTAATTTGGCAGCCCATTACAAGATCCGTCTTAAAAACCGGTTCATCAACTTTATTTCTCACTTTTATTGCGAATTTTTATCGCTTGGCAATTTAAGTTTTATTATTTTGGACTTTGAATTTTAAAATTTTGGATTGTTTAAAAATTAAATAAAAAAATAGAAAAAAAAAAAAAAAAAATTTTAAAGGGTAAAAAAAAAAAAAAAAAAAAAAAAAAAAAATATATTAATAATAAATTTGAGTTCCACATTAATTGGGTATCAGGCGTTTTGATCCCCCGACAAAATATCCCCGGACAAAATATGGTTTTTCTGAAATAATAATTATAAATTATTGAAATTTATTATAATTATTAAATTATAAATTATAAATTATAAATTTATAATAATTTATAATTATTATTTCAGAAAAACCATATTTTGTCCGGGGATATTTTGTCGGGGGATCAAAACGCCTGATACCCAATTAATGTGGAACTCAAATTTATTATTAATATAATTTTTTTTTTTTTTTTTTCATTTATTACACTTTAAAATTTTTTTTCTTTATTTATTTTTTATTTAGTGACTAGTGGCGCCAGACGTACGCCATTTTTTATTTGTTCAAATTTAAGGTTAAGCTGTCAAAGTAAACAGTCATTTGGGCGCCATTGAAGGTTTTGGTAAGTTTTATGGCTTATTGTAGTTTTATAGCGGTATTTTAATCAATTTTTTTTTTTTATTTATAAACAATGATAATATTATTTATTTTGTTTCAGATTGAATATCCGGATTCAATAATTTATTAATTTATCAATGTGTACAGGTAGATATTTATTTTCTTCATTAACTAAAACAATATTATTAACCTAAAAAAAAATAGTAAGAAATTTGTATTTGCTTCATAAATATATTTATAAATAATTTATTGAAAAAAGGTAATTAATAAATAATAATTATAGTAATTGTGTAAAATATATTCATGAAAAGTTTTTTTTTTTTTATTTGAGGTCATAAAATTAATTCAATTGCAAAAAAATATTTCTGTAATAAATCAAACAAAGCATATATTTTTATCAATGCTAATTTACTGATAAGCAATTGTGAAATATTTAAATAATTTGTTTTTCCAATTCATTGCACGATTATGATTTTATCCTTAATATGTTTTAAAAAAAATATTCAAGTTTTTTTTTTAAATAAAAAACTTGACGTGAAGATAAATTATAATAATGTATATTTACTCATTTAGGATTCAGGATAAGGAAAAGAAGAAATAAAAAAAAAAACAAATAAATCTATATTTATGTTTTTGGAAAATTAATTCCGGACTGTAATCACTGTAATTACTGGGCAATGATGAAACTTGTACACAGGTAACGATTAAAAATTTTTAAAATCAACAAAATTAATGTTATCATTATCAAATATTGCGATATATGTTTAAAGAGTCTGGTTGTTGGAAATAATTTATGGAACAAAGTAAGAAAATATTTAAGCTCGGCAAATTGAGCCAATTACTCAGAATTTTAAAATAAAATGATATTTACATTTTTATTAATTTCGTAAAAGTCGCTCTTGTTAAATTGTCGCTCATTGCTGGACAATGCGATAAATATATAATTGAGTCATTGTCTTGAACCTTAAGTAGAATAAACCAAAAAACATTTTATTGGTAGAACTATCAATTTTTATAATTACCTATTTATAATTATTATCATTATTAAATCATAATCAAGTTGAAAATTTAGTACTTTTAAATAAATATTAATAGTTCCAATTTTTATACTATTGCTTCATTTGTATGATATTTTTTTAAATGTGATTAGATCAGATTTGTAGAAGAAATCTTTCATCCTAAATTTAATATTTTTACTTGGAATCTTTGAGGAAAAATTTGCTGAAAATTATTGCAATATCTTATTTATTATTATTATCTTCATTAATCATCATGATTATTATTATAAATACTATATATAAGATTATATAAAAAAATTTCTAGATTTTTTATGTTGATTTCTTCTTTATTTTATTTTTGAGGAATTAATTGATAAGAAAAGTATTTTTCTAAATAAATATAATAACTTATTTTCATAAAAATAAAGTATACATTTTTTTATGTATTATTTTATAACTTTTAATACTTGATTTATGATGACAATAATTTACATTAAAAAAAAAAAAAAAATTTACTTACCACTAAAAAAAAAAAAATTAATGATAAATAATAATAATAATAAATTAATAAATATTTTTTTTAAAGTCTCAATATTTTTATTACGATTATTAATATAACATATTCTCTGAATGTAAATAATTGTTTAACTTTATTTTTTTCTTTCATTTTACTAATTTACAAATACATACATATACATATACATATATTCATAAAAATAACCAACACATAAAAGCGATAAGGCATTGTCGGATATGCAGAAAAAAAAATGAAAAAAAAAAAAAAAAAAAAAAGTTTGCCAAAGTAGTGCTCGATACCGTTGTTGTACACAATGTCTTTCACTTCTCTCCTACTTCTTGTTTTTATAATAATTTTTTTTTAATCTCTATACTTGATATAAATTATATAATTATGAATTTACTTATTTTGCATAAAATTATTTATTTATAATAGGCAAGAAAAAAAAATTAAAATATACTAATTTTTTTTTCCTTCTAATCAATTATTTACATAAACATATATACTATATTATTTAAGCATCAACATTTCTTATAATTAAATTGCCGTAATTAATTATTTATTATTTATACAACTTAGATGCTATATATATATATATATTGATGACAATTATAACAAGTAATATAAATAACAAGTTCAACAAAGTTATTCACATTGAAAATTAATTATCATTTAATCAACGGTGTATGTATTAATTATTTCAATTAAATAATTATTCTTTTATCATATTAAGTAAGTGAGTATTGTAAGTAAACAAGTACCAAGTAAGTAATTAAGTAATTAAATAGTTGTTTTTGATATAAATTTTATTGAGGTCCTTGGAAGTAGTTTGGCACAATTGGCGACCTATTATTTTTATTTCATTAAATGGCTTTTGTTAATCTTATTATTATTATTAATATTATTAATATTATTATTATTATTATTATTATTATATATAATATATTATTTTATTTAATTATAAAAGCCCGATTTTAAGTTTATATTTATGTTTAATATCATTTATATATGTTTGATATCAGTCGCCTCATTGCTTCGAAAGTCAATAAATAAATAAATAAATTTACAGATATTTATTTAGTATTTAGTAATTATCCCACCCTCGTAAGCCGGTCTTGGAAACTTTAGATTGTATAAATAAATATTTGATAATATAAAAAAATTAACGTGATTATTAATATCAGGTCTCAGCTCCTTTGAGGTCATCATTAAATATTAAAGCTAAAATAATAATAATAATCATAATACCTCTGATAAAACTATTAATAATTATTAATTGTTAATAATTTTGGAATTATATTACGGTGGTTCCGGCTCAGAGGTGGGAGATTCTTGCTACGCTTCCAAGAATATTAAAGCCGTAGGCTTTGGTTCTAAATTACTTTTTTTAGCCTCTACCACCAGGAACTCTATTTCATTTCGGTCACGTCTTGCAAATGATTCGGCGATAAGTCGTGCTACTTCTTGATGATGTAGTCCTAAAATAAATACATTTTATTTTATTTATAAAGTTTTTTTTCTATCGACAATAATAATAATAATAATAATAATAATAATAATAATAATAATAATATTTCTACAATGAATGATATCATTACACAAGATTTTTCCTAAATCAAAAAGCATAATGAAATTTAGTGTTATTGCAAAGGTGTTGACTTTAATTTGTGCCTTTTCAAGGTTTCATATCATTCTCACCGATAGTCAATTTATTATGATCAATATTTAGGCTGCATTCGAAAATTCTCTATCTCTAGAAACACAATTAAGAAATGACCTTGTATCTTGTGAACTATTGACATTTTTAAAGATATAAGCTCACCCCGACAAACTCCCGGAGGGAGGAAGGAGGAGTTGGAGGAGTAACAACCTCGTTAAAAAACCAGGGTCCATCTGGCTCCGGATGGTAGCACCCTGTTGTTATAGGGCCCCGCCGCTAGGGTTACAGCATTACAACGATGGGAATGTCGAATGATACGACAAAATCGTTTACGGTGCAGGGGACAGATACCTCAGTGCCGGCGGCTGGCAGTGCTCAGACGGGCTGCTTGTCGTCGTCACAGCTGTCTGGTACAGCTACTGGGAGTAAAACACAGGAGATGGCTTTACTCCTCGATAAGAGGGACGAAGCCATTGGAAAGGAGGACAAGTTGCTGGAGGAGCTCCAGGAACTTTTTAAGGAGGCGCTGAAGACCGTTAGCGCGAAACGCACGGTGCCAACAGAGCTCAAAAACAATGTGAAGGAGGCACAGAGACTGCCGTAAGTCCTGGAAGATAGCTCAAAGGGAGCTATCACAAACGGTCTCAGAGGCAGCCGTGTTGGTCAACTCAGGTGCAATTCCAATCGACCTACTGGGTCTCGAAAGGAAGCGGATCTGGGATGCCTGACGGGCTGGCGAAGGACCTTTGAAAGACGTGAGAACCCGCGAACGTGAGGAGACTTTTGCGCTCTGGCAAGAGCGCTGGAAAACTGGGGAGACAGGGCGTTGGACTTATAAACTCATTGGGCAGATCCGTGACTGGATACTGAGGGATTGTGGGGAGATAGACTACTATCTCACACAGTTCCTTGCTAGTCATGGACTGTTCAATGCCTATTTGCATCGTATGGGGATCCGAAACGATCCTTACTGTGTGTACTGTCCACGAGTTGCTGACTCTGCCGAGCACATCTTTTGTATTTGTCAACGTTGGTCTGAAATACGGCTGCGTTGGCAGGAAGAGAAGGAAGTGCCTCAAAGGCCCGAAGACGTCGTTCCTTGGGTGCTGGCATCGACGAACAACTGGGCAGCAATGACGAGATATGTAAGAGAGGTCGTGCTGGAGAAGAGGAAAGAAGAAAAAGAAGAAGAAGCGGAGGAATAGCTACACGAGGAAATAGCTACACGAGTAGCGTTGGAGGTGGCCTGGTACTGCGAAGTAATGCTAACGCGGTCCCGCAGTATCAGGTACAAGAGAGGGGAGGGTTTTAGTGAGTAAAAATCTCACACTACCGGCAACCAACATCATCAACATCTAGCCGGTGTCTTATGAAGAAAAAAAAGCTCATCCCGACATTATACTCATCGAGACCTTTCATTTGAGTACCCACATCAATTTTTCATATATTTATATATATATATGTATATATGAAAAATATATCAAAATGCATGTGGGCACTCAAATGAAAGCTCTTGATAAGTGTAACATCGGGATGAGTTTATATCTTTAAAAACGTCAATATTTAAGAAAGTACAGGGCATTTTAACAAATATCTTGTGAACTATTGACATTTTAGGTAGATTTCATAGAAATCAATCTTTTGCATTGGTCCTCATGTCGGAATTTACTCGGAATTTTGTCGTAATATCACTTAACTAGTCGAGTAAAGCTCAAAAATAACGTTAGTTAAAAAATTTATATATGTATATATTTATACATATGTAATATAACGCGGGATGTTGCCGCGATTGTGTCTACAGTTCTTGACGGATCTAGATGAAATTTGTTACACATATTCTTTGGATAATAACCTTGAATGAGTTCGAAGATGAGCGAAATCCATCCATAAGTTTAGAAATGACAGCACTTCAAAATTATCAAAATTGTGAAAATCACGTTTTCGGTGACTTCATTGATGTACAACTTTTGGTTGAAAAGAGATAGCTAATTTTTGATGAATTCATGAAATTGCCTTTAATTTGACGTATATAACATTGACATTTTGACCATTTTTAGTTATTTTATCAAAGTTAAGAGTTCTATTGAACCATTTTCAGGCAATGTGTAGTGCAGCCGACTTATGAATGTTATTCTGTCAAGAATTCCTAACAGATCCCAATGAAATTGAGTATACAAATTCCTTAGACAATTAGCTTGCATGAGCCTTAAAATGAGCGAAATCCTTCTATTAGTTCAGAAATAGTAGCTCTTCAAAATGATCAAAATAGGAAAAATTACGTTTTCGGTGACTTCATTTATGTATAACTTTTAATAGCAAAAAAATAGCTGATTTTTGATAAGTTTATGTGAATACTCATAAAATCACTTTTAATTTTTACGGGGAAGACACTTGACTGGTTCCAGTCATACCTCTCTGGTCGATGTCTTCAAGTTAGAGTCAACGGTCACGTCTCCAACGGCTTTAACCCAACCTCAGGAGTCCCTCAGGGTTCCCATCTTGGTCCTATACTTTTCAACATTTTTGTCAACGACATCGGTGATAACCTCAGATCTGACTTCCTTCTCTATGCAGATGATCTCGAGACTTACAGAACAATATCTGATGCATTGGACTCAGCAATATTTCAAAATGATATTGACACACTTTCCGAATGGTGTCATACAAATAAGTTATTTTTAAACGCGAAGAAATGTTTTGCAGTGTCCTATTCTCGCTCAAATTCCCACTTTGGCGCAAATTATCTACTAGAGGATCATCGAATTGTGGTGCAAACGGAAGTCAAAGACCTTGGCATTACTATTGATAATAAACTCTCTTTCGCTAGCCACATTAACAACATTACTCTGCAAGCATTCAAACTCCTTGGTCTCATAACTAGGACCAGCCGGGACTTCAATGACCCACTCACCCTAGTGCGTCTCTTTTCCTCGCTTATAACTCCCGTACTTGACTACGGATCTGTCATATGGTCACCTTCTACTGCTTTCTCAATCAATAAAATTGAAAGGACCAGGCATAAGTTCTCTTTAAACTATTTACTGGATTAATTAAAGCTCCTGACCTAATATACAGCTTTGAGTTCATCGAAAAGACTCTCAACCTTAGGCAAAGTCGACTACTGAAAACAACGAAGTCCAATAAAAATTACGCCATCAACAGTCCAAGAAACAGAATATCAACTCTCGTTAATAGATATCATACTAATATAAATTTTTTCGAAGGCTCCTATAAATCATTCCTGGCAAAATTAAAAGAAACTCTGTAACTCATATTGCTGCAATATTTCTCCCCATGTACAACAATCTATTTTCTGTCTCTTTCTTTATATTTCTTTTATTATTCTTTATTATTACTGTTTACACTTAATTCCTCTTATAATTTTTGTAATATCAATATGAACAAAGCCGTTTGGCGTTAAAAGTATAATAAATAAATAAATAAACTTGACGCATATAACGTTGACTTTTTGACCATTATTAGTTATTTTATCGAACTTAAGAGTTCAATTAAACCATTTTAAGGCAATGTGTAATACAACCTACTTATGTATGTTAAAATAAATTTCATTCCATGTCAAAGGAAAGTTATTGAGACAAGATGATTCATTTTATGAAATCTACCTTCCATTTCGGGTATGGCCGAATGGCGTCTTTTTTAATTAAAGATATAACATCACCCCGACATTACACTCATCAAGACCTTTCATTTGAGTACCCACATCAATTTTTCATATATTTATATATATTATATATATGTATATATCAAAAATATATCCAAAATGCATGTGGGTACTCAAATGAAAGCTCTTGATGAGTGTAACATCGGGATGAGTTTATATCTTCAAAAACGTCAATATTTAAGAAAGTACAGTGCAATTTAGTAAAATTCATTATTTAATAAATCAAAATTTTATATATTCATAGTTAAAAAGTCACGGCAGTGACATAGTGACTGCAAGGTGTCTAGTAATAATTAAAAAATATTTAATGTTAAAAATAAAATAATTTTACCTTCAACTTTATTGCCATCAACTTCAAGTATCAATTGTCCAACTTCAAGACCACCAGCTTCAAAAGCAGCTCCATTATCCTTAAAAATAAAAATTAATTAATACTCATTATTTTATGCATTTAAAAAATAAAAAAAAAAAACACTTACATGTATATTAATAATACGTGGTAATGGATGTTTAGTATTAGCACCGCCTTCAATAGCAATACCTAGTATTGACTTAGTTTTCTTAACAGTAATACGTAAATTACCCTGATGATCTGGTACAACAAGAGCACCATCTTTTTGAAGTCTCTCCCCAATATCATTTCGAGATAATCTTTGTGCGCTGTGATGACGTCTTGGTGGTCCATTCCCACCTTGATTACCGGTGGTCCCACCCGATTTAGTGGCCCCTTCTTCCAACAATTGCGCTTCTTGCATATCAAAACTTCGAGACAATTTGTGCGCAAGCTCCTATTTTTATTAAACAACACCAGATCCCCCCCTAATTAATTATTATTCATAAAATGCAAACTTAAAATTTTTTATCAACAACAACAATAACAACAAATAATAATAATAATAATAATAATAATAGTAACAACAACAATAATAAATAATAAGGCTTACTACTGTTTGTATTATTGCATTTAGAGTACTTTGTGCTAATTTATTTATTCAATTAATTTTTTTTATATATTATTATTGTTTATATTTTTATAAATAAGATTAATATTATTTTTAGTAATTAAATAGAATTGAAAAGTATGATAAAATAGAAAAGTCAAGACATGCTTGCTGATAGAGATAATAATTATAATAATAATTTGGTAGGGTGTTTTGGTGCTCGGAGAGTGGTGGTGTTTATATTTATATTAATTTAAAATTTATAGTTATTAAATAATATAAATAAATAATAATATAAATTATTTTTTGTGTATTAATTAAATTTATAATTAAAGCTTTGTGATATGATTTTAAAGTGCACGTTTTATTCTTCAACTCTCAATAAAATAATTATTGTTTTATTTTTTTTTTGTAATGTTGTGTTTTGTGAAAGCATGCCCAATACAAATCTAAATAATCGTGCTTTTAATTTTTATTTAATTAAAATATTTCAAGTAATAATAATAATAATAATAATAATAATAATAATAATAATACAAAGAAGAAATAAAAATTAAAAAGAGTTGAAGAACTTTTTAGTGAACTATAAATGATTAAGTGCAATTATTAAAAATTTTTATTTTTATTTATCAATAATTTATTTGTTGATTATTATTATTATTAATTAAAAGAATAATTGTTATTGATAAATATTTACTAATTTAATCAGCACTAGATCTAGTCTTAATAGCAAAAATTAATTTTATATATTAAGTCTAAGTACATGCATAATCTGTTTTTTAATTTTTTTTCACCCCTTTTGTAAATTATTTTTCGAAAAAATTTTTTTTTATAATCAACAATATAAAAGTGATTGAAAAAAATGAAAATATAAAATTTAATCCGTGAGCGTGCGATCCGTAATTAATTATAGAAAAATAGGTTATAGATGACAATTGATAATTGTAATAAATGAGTGATGTGTTATTTAAAAAAAAAAAAATTTAAAGAAAAAAAAATATGTGCGGAAGTTCTTGGCTGTGAACTTACTAGGGGTCTGGCGCCCCAATACCAGGACTTGACACGTTGGGTAAGACCACCAAGAAGGTGTGATCTCCAACCACCGAAACCTCCTACACTTCCACCCTCCGAGCTCCTTTCTTCCCTTCCTTCTTCCTCATCCTCAGTTTCGCGGTCGCGACGACCATTACCGATCATCTCGACGTCGCTACTCTCACAAACGCCGTCGTTTTCCTATACACATATTAAAAGAGGGCCAACCCACCAGTAACAATAATTATTATTATTATTATTATTATCTTCATCATTATTATTATTATTACTTGATTTTTTTTTAATAAAAAAGAAATTTAGATTTTTATTCAAATAAGAAAAATACTTTTTTTTCTTCTTCTAACATCTAACTTTCCATTCTAGACTTTATTATTTTTATAAATATTAATAACAATAATAATTAAAATTAAATAGAAAAAAATATTTATGTATGTAAATTTTTTGATTTTTTGGAGCTGAATTAAAGAATTATTTTAAATAAATTGACCTCAATATTTAAATAAAGTATCTTATAGTTAAATCAGCACATAAAAGACATTTTAAAACTTTCTCCGATTGGCTTATTCTTTTTTTTTCTCTTTACAGATAAATTATAAATAAAATTACTTCCTTACAGAAATAATAATAATGATAAAAAAATAAATAAATCAATAAATAATAATAATAATAATAATAATAATAATAATAATAATAGTGTTTCTAAAATTTAAAATTTGACTTTTTGATAAAATTAAAATTTTTTATAAAATTTTTGATGATATGATTATGTAAATTATAAATCCCAAAAAAATAATAATAATAAATGAATAAAAAATACAAAACAATCTATAAAAATGTAAAATTTAAGGTGAAAACTTGGCAACAGTGTGGCAAAACAATATTTCTCACTCACTTCCTAACTCCCTCACTGACTATAATTTTTTTTGTCTTATTTTATCATCCTGTAGGTTTATAATATCCTCTCAGTTATATTTATATACATCTTTGTTGGACAACTGTTGTTACAACCATAATCGGTCCTTGTTTAGTTAAAAGTACCTGTGTTGTGTAGGTATCTACTATACATTATATACAATATAGAATAATAATATACAAACACAACACTCAACATTATGGTTGTAATACGCCAACTGTTAAGTCAATTCACTCATGAGACTCATGAGTTTTCAGTCTTCTATAGACTTTTCTCAGTTTAACAGTTTAACATAGTGACACTAGTTATACCTTTTAATATTATTAATTTTTATTTTTTTTATTATTTATTATATTCATTTTTGTGTCTTTTTTGTGTATTATATATAAATCAGTGTTTGGTTTCATTTTATTCTTTACAAATTTTTATTTCATTTTTCTAATGAGTAATCCAATTTTATCCACTTGTAAGTATATATTATTATTATTATTATTAAATTAAATAAATTAATGTAAATTTTAATATCCAAAAAATTAAAATAAAAAATTTGCATTTTTTTTCTCTAATAGCTTATAAAAATTTTTAACTTACAATTTAAAAATAATAATTATTATTATTTTAATAGATCAAGTTAAATATCTACATATATATAAAAGTAAACGTATAACTGTATTTCCAATACGGTACACGATCTTGAGCCTGGGAAAATACATTATATATGTATGATAAATATTCAACCGGTTTCACGTTTTAAGACATGAGTGGTTATAAAAAAAAACATTCATCTTACTTTACTCTATCCATATATTTTTTTAAAAAAATTTTATGACAACCTATGAATTAAATATATACTCTTGCAATATTATTTTAAAATTTTTATTCACATAAAATTTTATGATACTAACGTTGATAATTCTTAGAAATTTTTTAGTTAATAAATTACAGCAAAAAAAAAATTATTTTAAAAATTTCATCTTTAAAATCTCTAAAAAAATTATAAATTAAATTTTTAAAAAATAATTTTCTCGGCTTAATTTATTGTTAAAAAAATTATCAAGTGTCTGGCAATGACATAAAATTTTATAAAAATAAAAATCATTTAATAATTTATTTTATTTTTTGTTTCTAGAGTAACAAATTGATTACAATAACTGTTGTTATTATTATTATAATTATTAAAATAAATAAATAACAATAATGGAGTCATGGTTAAGCGATGTGCAACGAGTTAAAATTCCACGGCCTAAATTCGGAAGTGGTAACTCTGTTAGACGATCTAATTCAACAATCCAGCACTGTGTGATACGTGTAGACACACATACGGCTAGACAGGTTCAAGACGTTGCTAAAGCCACCGAAGAATTGAGACAAGCCATTCAAGACAAACTTTAATAATTTTTCTTATTTTTTATTTATTATTTTATTATGCTACTGTACCTATCTTATAAATTATTTTATTTTATAGATATATTTATTACTTAATTTTTTTATGTACTCTTTAATTTGTAAATATTATAAAAATATTTTTTAGTTAAAATAAAAAATTTTATATAAATTTTTCTGTGATAAAAATTAAATTTTTTATCCTAATTTTTTATTTTTATTCATAAAAAAAATTCAAGTTAGAATAATGATGATAATAATAATAATAAACTCTCTCGCTTTCCACATTCAACTTACTCGAGCGAATCGCGAAAAATATTGTTAATTTCACCTTGAGGTTTATTATATTATTATAAATAATATATAATTATTAAATATATATTACTGTCATTTCTCAGTAAAGACTATTCTGAAATTTATTTTTAAATAATATTTTTTATTTTTAAAATTTATTTTTATTAAATCCTATTGCATGTTTAAAGTTGGCATGTTGCAGGAAGTTTGAATAATGATATGTATAAAGGAAAATTATAATTTGCATATGAAAAAAAAAAATAAAATAAAATAATTATGCACGACCATGAACCCTGAGCAGAAATATTTTTTTTTAGTTTTTATAAACTTTTTTTATCTACTTATTGTAATTTAAAAAACAACACTACCTAATGGGTAATAATAATAACTAACAACATATTTTTAAACTATCACAGGTTTATATAAATATTAAAATTATTATTTTAATTTAATAAGCTATTATTAACAATAAATAGTTAAACTCACTAACAACGTCTATAACAAACTCTACTAATTTAATATAATGAGACGATGGGCGCAGTTTCTATTATATTAATTTATAAAATAATAATACTAATAAAAATTAATTTATTTTAAATAACTTACCAAATTATCTGGATACAAATTATGATGAGAAGAATAGTCCCGTTGATTACTTCTTGATCCTCCGGGTGAACTATGCCTTCGACCTCTATCGTTATCAATTTCATCATCATAATCCTACAAAAAGAAATAAATAATTTTTTTTATTATATTTTTGATATTTATTGATAGGTAAATAAATAGATAGTATATAATTGTTGTATCTCGCGCGACTTTAAATATAATATATTTTATTCCCAACTTGTCTCTGCCTTTAAATTGTCATTTAATTGTACCTGATTGTCGTACTCGTCATCATTAGAGAGTGTAAGGTCAGATGTGGCGACTTGATGTTGTGTACGTCTGCATCCAGCCCTGGAAGATCCAAAATTTTCCAACCTCATCCTTTAATTATTTTTTTCTCACTTATATTTTTTTCGAGTTTCTCGTGAATACATTTTATCATTTTTTTTTTTACCAAGTTTAATAAAATTTTATAATTTCTAAATAATAGGGAAAATTTTTGCCGCAATTTAAAAATAAATAATTAAAATTTTTAATATTACGGTGAAAATATTGGTTCTATAAAAAAATTTTTTAAACAAAAGTTGTTAAAAATTTAATTTTCTAAAAAAAATGTCTCTTATGATTTTTTCAAACCAACATTTTTGCTGTAATTCCAAAATTAAGATTCATAATGAATAATTCAAATTTTTGCTAATTATAATAATCTTAATTTTAAAATTACAGCATTCTGATTGGTCCTAAGAGAAAATTATAAAAGACATTTTTTTTACAAAATTAAATTTTAAACTTTTGCTTAAAAAAATTTTTTATAGGACTAATATTTTCACCATAATATCAAAAATTAGAATAGTTTATCATGAATTACTTATTATTTTTAATTTGCGGCAAAAATATTGGCGCTACTAATTAAATTACTTTATTATTATTTTGTAATTGATAATCAATTCAAGAGATTCTCGATAAAATTTAATTATTTTAAAGTAAAATTTTAGATTAGTAATTATTGAAACAATAATAAATAAATAAAATAAACAATTATAATAGATAAAAAAAAATAAGTGTATTGGCGGACCTCGTACGAGGCATGTCAGAACCAAGACCGCTGTCCTCACTCGGGGATCTGTATTCCTGATTATCTCGAGGTGGTAGTGGACCAGTGACACCCAATGGGTCTCCCTCCAAATCCATCAGCCGTCCTGGACGACAGGATGAACTGCTTTGAACACCCCTCTAAGGCAAATCATAGACACAACTGGTATGAAAGGCACCTGCCTCTCCCCTTGCGTTTTGTTTCACACTTATTTATTATAATTATTTTTTTTATTTTAATTTTTTTAATCTCTAAGTTTGCATGAGCTTTCAGACTCTTGTTTTTATTTATTCTACATTATTAAAGTCGCGCGAGAATTATTTTTTAATTTAAATACGCGGCAACAAAATAAAAGGTCAGCAAAGCCCAGGCAAACTCGAAAAAAGAAAAATAAAAAAAATAATTTAAAAAAAAAAGAAAATAATAGTTTTTTATTTTTTTTTTTAAAGTAATTGATTGGAAAATTGTTAAAAAATTTTTTTCAGGATTTAGCAGGATTAAAAAAGCACAAAATGATTCATGTATTAATAATTGTGTGTATGTTTGTATTAATTTAAATAGATAATTATGATATGGCAATAAGCACGAGCAAGCGTAATAAAAATAAAATATTAATTAATCAAATTTTATATAAAATATAAAGCGAATTTTTATCATGCAACATTCACTAAATTATTTTCAAAATAAAAAAAAAATTACTATTAATTTAGTCATAATTTCACACAACAAATTATATCTAAATAATATTTTTATTATTCAGAATTTTCAATTAAAATTAAAAAAATAATAAACATTAATTATTTTTTTTATAATATATACATATATATATATATATATATATATATATATATAAATATATATATAAAGTAATCTGATTAAAAATTTTTGTTTATGCGTGTACAGGTAGTAAAATTTATATTAGTAAAAAAGAAGTATATATGTAATTAATGTACTGTGCAATGTGTATTGTGTACAAAGAGACAGAGAAAGACAGAAACAAGAAAGGAAATCTAGACTTTAATTTATTAAATCTACTGGTTATTATTGTTAGTGAGTTAAGAAGGAGTAAATTATTGTTATATTAAATTTAATTATTTTCATAATTTTGATATTTTTATTTTTAATATATGTATTAGTAAAAACTTACCGGTAAATCATGTATCGAAGGTGTCACAATAAGGTCTGAATGTGCTCTGTCGCCTTTTTGTCGCTATAAAAATAATAATATTTAAAAGAAATAAAAATTTTATGATAATTATTTATAAGTGGGGTCAATCCCATTTTTGGCCATAACTAGGTGAAAAATTAACATTTCCAAATTTTTTTTATCCTGCTTGTTTTTACGGCGCATTTATGATAAAAAATGTCATGAAAGAAAAAAATAAAGATTTCGATAGCTTTTTTGCCTTCAAAAGTTGGAAAAAATTTTGGCTCTCATGTTTTTGGATAAAATTTCTCTTTTATCTTTTTTTGATATATATTTTTTTGAAAAGTACATAAAAAAACGAACAATTAAAAAAAAAAAGTTGAATATCACAATTTTCTAAAAAATTTATAAATTTTTTTGAAAATCTGTCAAATTTATTAAAATTGTGATAATCAACTTTTTTTTTTTAATTGTTAATTTTTTTATGTATTTAAAAAAAATATATCAATAAAATCAAATAGAAATTTTGTTCAAAAAAATGAAAATTAAAATGGTTGACCCCACTTGTAAATATTTACCAATTTTATAGTAAGCTTAGGAATAAATAATATATATTTTAATATTTAATCTTACTCTGGCTGAAGAAGAAGCTCTTGGCCGATAAACGAGCTCATCAAATATTGCTCGATCTTTACTGTCAATAACTTCACGTAATTCTGTTAATAGCGTTAATTTTTCTTGCGTATTGAGTAAATCGGCAAGATTAGCAACAAGATCTTGAATATTTAATCTTCGAGTTCTATAATCACCAATTAATTGAGTTAATGCAACACGTTCACTTCGCGCTAAAACGACACGTGCTTTTTCTTCTACCATTGAGGCTGTTGCTGATGATAGTGTGTGCACTCCACGATGCCTCCATTCATTTGTATTTGTTCTATAAATATAAATATCAAATCAATTCTACACCATAGAAATATCCTTGATAAATAAAAAAAAAATACTTACGGACTAGGTGGATTATTATTTCCAGGACTTGATAAAATAGATTGCGGATCATGATCAGTGTTTGGATACCTTGGTACAACAATTGGTCTACTTGTTGTACATGAATGTGGTACTTTACCGACGTCTCTTATTATTAAGCTCATACGTTTATTTGTTTTGAGTATTTCTACAGCTTCATCATGTGTTGCTTCTTCAAAACTTGTACCATTAACTTGTATTATTTGATCACCTACCTATAAAAATAATAAATTTAATATTATTATTTATTTTAATAACAAAATTTTCATTACAAGCTAAATCAATGACTTGATATGATTTATAAATTTGAATAAATAAAATATTATAAAAAATTTATCTATAAAGTTTATAATTCAATAAAAATCAATGAAAAAATTCAATTTTTTATTCAAAATTGTGTCTTTAAAAACAATAATAAAATTTAAAAAAATGATGACAATAGCTTGTGGTTTAAACAATTTATAATTATTATTATTATTATTATTATTATTATTATTTATATCGAAAAAATTTTAATATAAGCTAAAGTAAGGACTTAATTTGATATTTCGAAATTTAATGTATACTAGCAGCAACCTTGCAGTCACTATGTGACTGCCGTGACTTGTGAACTATAAATAAATAAAATTTTCATTTATTAAATAATGAATTTTTTTAAATTGCACTGTACTTTCTTAAATATTGACGTTTTTAAAGATATAAGCTCATCCCGATGTTACACTCATCAAGAGCTTTCATTTGAGTACCCATACACATTTTGATATACTAGAATTTAATTTTCGCGCGCAAGCGCGCGCCCTGACTATGGAGTTTGCATATATTTTCATGCTTATGATATATTCGACCAATCACGTTACGAATAGTTTGATGCCACATACATTTCATCTCAATTTTATATTAGGACTAGAATTTAATTTTCGCGCAACTATGGAATTTGCATATATTTTCATGCTTATGATATATTTGACCAATCACATTACGAATAAAATGTCTTCATCAATGTATATATTTTCATATTTTTCATCTAAATTATAAGAGTGGACTAGAATTTAATTTTCGCGCGCAAGCGCACGCATCATATTTATTGTCATGATATATTTATGTGTCGTTTAGGTATATTATATTCACTTTCAACCAATCAGAATAAGAATATTTATTTTCGACCAATCACAACACGAATAGATTGGTTTCACATACATTTCATCTCAATTTAATTATGGGAACTAGAATTCAAATTTGCGCGCGCCTTGACTATAGAGTTTGCATATATTTTCATACTTATGATATATTTGACCAATCACGTTACGAATAGTTTCATGCCACATACATTTCATCTCAATTTTACATTAGGACTAGAATTTAATTTTCGCGCGCAAGCGCGCGCATCATATTTATTGTCATAATATATTTATGTGTCGTTTATGTATATTATAATCACTTTCA